GATAGATGGAAAGAAAGCATTTTTTTTTTCTAGAGGGAGGGAACATAATAAGCAAAGAAAGAGAGAAACCTAAAGTCTTTGGCCTATTTGGAGTATGTGATAGGGAGCAGCAGGAGATAACATGACATGTATTGGAAAGCTAGTAGGACCAGGTTCTGAACTGTGTTATCTCATGCTGAGGAGTTTAGCCTTTCTCTTATAGGTCAGGGATGGGAAAACTTTTTCTGTGAAGGGCCAGATAGTAAATATTTTAGGTTTTGCAGGCCATCTGGTCTCTGTTGCAATTATTCATCTCTGCCATTGTAGCCCCAAAATAACCATCGGCAATACGTAAATTAATGAATGTGACTGTGTTCTAATAAAACATTTATAGAGACAGGCAGAAGGCTGAATTTGGCCCTCTGGCTATAGTTTGCCTAACCTTGTTGCAGGTAATATGAATGTACCTAAGGTTTTTGAACCAGAGAATGATGAGACCCTATCTTTACATTAAAGAAAACAGATAAGAAAATCTAAAAACTCTGAGCCCACCTGATAGAAATGGTGCTGAAATGGAGATTAACATCTCATATGTTGCAAGAATATTTATCTGAATCATGCAGTTCCACATTTTAAAAATATAGCTAGTGTCAAGACCTTCCTCTCCATAAAAATATAAAACTGGAAAATAAGTGGAGATTGGTTAAATAGTGTAGACTAGCAGTGCTTCTCAAACTTACAGTTTATAGACACCTTTTAAAGGAAAAGAAATTATTATGAAACCCAGTGTTAACTGATGATTTTTACAAATACTAAATTGCTATTGGATAGGAATATGATATAGGGTATTATATTGCAAGTTCTTTTTGTTGTTGTTGCAGTTGTCATTGTTGTTCAGCTGGCCCGAGCCAGGTTTGAACCTGCCAACCTCAGTGTATGTGGCTAGCACCGTAACCACTGTGCTGCAGGTGCCAAGCCTGCAAGTTCTTTTTGAGTTCATTGCATCTGTCCTATGACCTGTCATGTGCAAAACTAGTCTCTCATCTTTCTGTGTTTGAATCTCAAGAGAAACCTTTGGTTGCATAGTGCCCGGTGACCTTTATTTTGTGGAGGTCACAAAATTTGTACCAGTGGGCAAGTAGAACTGCATCCATTAGGTATTAAGACTGGCTCTATTAGAATAGAATAATTAGGGCCGCGCTTGTGGCTCAGTTGGCAGGGCACCAGGCCCATGTGATAGTAGCTGGTTCAAACCCAGCCCCGGGCAAACTGCAACAAAAACTGCAAAAAGAAATAACCGGGCGCTGTGGGGACACCTGTAGTCCCAGCTACTCGGGAGGCTGAGGTAAGGAAATCACCTAAGTCTAGGAGTTGGAGGTTGCTGTGAGCTGTGTGATGCCATAGCACTCTACTGTGGGCAATAAAGTGAAACTCTGACTCTACAAAAAAAAAAATAAAAATAGAATAATTAAAGCAGTTCTACCTGGTGCTGGTGCAATAATAAATATAAATGTAAACATGGCAACAGTGCTATGTTTGAAGTTATCTGAAAAAAATCCAGAATATGGTGATTTTGGGAAATTATTCAAATAGAAAGCTAATATTTAAAACTTCGTAACAAAATAAGATTGCTAAGAATCTATCAAAATTTTTACATGGTTCTGAAATTCCACTGTGAGAAATTAGGATTCTAAAGATAAAAGATAAGTGAAAAAGAGGTAAGTTAATAGATGATGACTTAATAGAATATTCCAGGAGTTTCCTGATGTCCCTGATGTCCCTTAGTACAACCTCCACTAACTGAAGTTTAGTGTACCAGTGGGCAAGTAGAAAGAAAAGTAGCCACACATAGGCTTTGGGGAATATTTAAACAAAATTCTTTAGCCTGTGAGTAGAACGAGATAGAATATCATAAGGATATGAGACCTCGGCTCGGTGCCTGTGGCTCAAGTGGCTAAGGTGCCAGCCACATACACCTAAGGTGGCGGGTTCGAATCCAGCCTGGGCCTGCC